CTAGGCAATTCCTACTGAGCACATTAAACAAGACGAACGAACTGAGCTTTGTCTACCAGTCTTGCTGATGGAATTTTTCAACTGGTTGAACGAGTACTTCGAAACAGAAGAAACATGTCTTTTACAGAAAGTCTTTTCAATGCATCTAGCTTGAAGAAAAAAAAAAAGCTGAAGAAAAGAGCAACCTGAAATTTCCAGGTAGGCGATCAAGGCACCCTTTAAAAGGTGAAGTGCTGTTATTTCTAAGAATATGCACAAATATAGAAACAGTTATCAGGTTACTGATGACATCAACTTTCAGTCTGAAAGTTCTCTACTTCACATTTATTTTTAATAACAAAGTATGTGTTCTCATGATAGGTTAACTACCATTACACAGGACAAATCAACTCACAGGATTTTTACCTTGCCCTGTTAGTAGTGTGATAGTAAGAAATCATAGTGCACCAACATGTTTAGGGTTTTTTTATTACTGTGCGGAAGCACATGGACTGGACTTAGAAGTGTGGGGAAATTATTCAGGACTGCTCTCTGTGTGGTATAGGAAAATTTCTAGAACACGTTAAATATTATGGTAACAGATACACTGCAAGTAGCAAAGCCAGAGTCATTTCTGTAAGGTAGTTAATGCATAAATGACTTTATAATCACCCTAATCCTGACGCAAGATCAAATAGTTGATATTGAAAAAGTGATTAATTGTACATATTTATCTTGACTCTGAAAGAGTAATCCTAAAGAGTAAGTGAAAGTCAAAAAAGTATAAAATGTACCTGCATAGTGGGTCAGAAAGATCATAGTTTAGGTCAAGCCCAGAAGGAAAATGCATTTATCCTGTTGCGGTCAACACCAAAAACTTGAAATTCTATGAATTGTGGGACAGTAAATTAGATTTAATATTTGAAAATTCTTTCATATTCGAGATATTAATGGACCTATAAATGATGTCTTATAATTATGTATTAATTGATTTTAAATTCATCGTAATGCATTTCAAGGTTAAACAAAAAAGTTATGTTCTTTGTATCATAACAAAAATATTTATATAGGAATTATACCTCAGTGACTGCTTTGCTGATTTTGACCATTTCAGACAAGCATTTTTTCCCCTCTTTCAGATATGGCCAATGCTACACAGTAATCTAGTGTCTGATTTTTGAATGAGTAACAACACAATGCCTTTTAACTCCCTAAATATAGTTAACATTACATTAGCTATATATATGCTCAGTACTTGCATATAGAAAGTTCAGCTCCATACTTCCAGATACCACACATTAAAAAGATACAAAGGACAAATACAATACTAATAGATAACTAGCAATATTCAAACTTACCAGGCATTTAATGAAATATGATTTAAGAAAGGATAAGTAGTACGAGGATTTTGGCAGACAACATGAAAAGCAGCACGAATAATGAGGAAGAATGACCAAAGCAGTGATACACAGTTTGATGTAAATAAACTTTCTCCATATTTAACCATGACCACCTTCTATGGTATTGTAAGGATTATCGCAAAAAAAGACTATAGTTTGAGATTTATAAGCCGCTCATAAGCAGATATGCCACTTTACGATAGACTTCCTGTAGAGTATCAAGAGAAATCAAATGCCTATATAACCCTTTGTTCAAGATATGTCTAGATGAGACTGTTACAAACATCACCAGAATTCCTAAACTGGAAGCTTACTGACTCCTACGCACTTTTTGGCACAGTGAAACTTTCCACCCCGAGACTCTTGTTCACACAGACCCCAAAGCTCTTTTGGGGAAACTCTCAAGTCTTTGAACCAGCCTCCAAAAGAAAATGTACAACATACCAACTAATTTCAGAGCCTTGTCTTTAAATACATAGCATTTTTAGCTTTACTGCTTTTATTTTTTTCTCCTTTTAATAATCCAAAATGTCCTTTTAAGAAAGCTCCAGACCCCACCAAAAAGCCAACTGTCAATGCACAAATTTTCTTCATGGAAGAGAGGAGATAAAGGACTACACTCAGGTATATGCCAATTAGAATTCCCAATACTTATGGCCCATTAAACAGCAGGTAAAGAGTTACAAGCACATTTATGTTACAGAAGAAAGCCTATCTGTAGACAGGAAATTACAACAAAATAAGAGAGTATAATTGAAGGAGAATTACAACTTCTGAAAAGTTAAACTAAGTAGTTTAGATATCTGAATTAGCGACATAAAAACATCAAAAAGGCCCTAGCAGTTTGCACAGTAAGACTGTTTCTCTTTAAGTTATTTTGGTTGATCAGTGAAGCATCAGGTCAACTTATTAATAACATCAAGCAATATGAATATATTACTCACTTTGCTAAACACAAAATAAAAAATTGATTTCTTGCTTTTACCATAAATCAAGAAACATACAAAAGTTTTTTTTTATTACCAATATACTGAGTAAAATAATACTTTCGTATTTTAGTAGCTAATCTTGGATGGGGAGTTTGTCTTACCAGCCCCGCACAGCTGTAGTTAAACCCCAGTTCCCGGGAAATAGTCCAATTGGCATGTTCTTCGATCACCGACATATCTGGAAACTTTACAGGATTGCTAAACCAATCAAATTCCAGCTCTAAACATGGAGTTTCCTATAAAAAGGGAATTTAAATTACTTTTTCTGTTGAATGATACTAATTATAATAGAGCATATTTTGAAAATGTACTCGTGAGGAGGAAACTGGCATGCAAACACTTACCTTGTTTGGATTTGATCCGGTAACACCAATGGGATTCAACAAATCCTCCAGCCCATGAGGTACTGCCCAAAGATTCAAAGCCATTTTCCCAGATACGAGAGTGTCTGTGTAATCGAACAAGTTTATATTTCCCCAAGCCAATGGGCAGTGCTCCTTAAAGAGATTAAAAGATGACTTTTTCAGTGCCATCTATTAATTATTGCAGAGTGAGTCAGGAGAAATAACATCTTCACCCCAGAGCAAGCTGTTACATTCCCAGATTGGATGAAAGCAGGCTGTGGGAGCTGTACCATACTTTTTCTATGAATGACTGTCATGGCAGTCATTTTGCAGAATGATATCAAAACACTTGCAAACACACGGTAACATCTTCCCCACATCAGTATAACTCAAGATAATGCAGAGTGAGTTTTTTTGACAGATAGAAACATTTTACCAAGACCTATAGCAACAGGATAAAGGGCAACCATTTTGAACTGGAAGAGAATAGGTTTAGATTTTTTTCTTAAATTTATTTTATTTTTTACGATAAGGGTGGTGAGGCACTGGAACAAGTTGCCCAGAGAAGTTGTGAATGCTCCATCATTGGAAACATTTAAGGTCAAGTTGAGTGGAGCTTTGAGAAACTTGGTCTAGCGAAAGGTGTCCCGCAGGGGAGTTGGACTGGACAATCTTTAAAGGTCCCTCCCAACCCAAGCCATTCTATGATTCTGTAATATTTGTAAAACTGGATGTAGACAAAAAACCTATAGAGTACATGTGACACACACTCAAACCCCAGATTTAATGATGCCAGTGGCTAGAATCAGATGCCATATGTAGATTCTTAAAAATTACTATTTGGGATCTGGCATCAAATGCTAAAGCAGCACAAATAACTCCAAATTCAAGTATAACTATTGCCCTTTTTAAATAAATAGGTAAGTAACTTATTGGTTTAGAAACTTGTGTTTAAAGGCACTTGTACCTCAGAAGACTAACACTGATCTTTGTGCCTGACAACAGTACAGACATGATTTACAGCATTGAACAGATAAGCTTTTTACCATGTTGTTTAATTTGTGCCCACAAAAAAGTGGTAGTCTGAATTCGATACAAGAAAAGAAAAACCCCTATTTTAACGAGATTCAAATCAAACATTTGACTGATTGCCAGCACAGCATTTACCAAGCATCTTCCCAAACTTCACTTATGCAGCTTCTGTTTGTTAGTGCATTAAAGCCCTGAGGTTTTTTTACCTCTTTAGCACCCTTCCGGCCTTTAACAGAACAGATAGAGAGGCAGAGCCGAGCAGCACGTGGAAGATCAGGAATGTACATGTCATACAGCAGCCATTCATTCCATCTAAGATTTAAAAAGTAGAATAAAACTAGGTTAAAGGAGAGCATGGAGATAACTGCATTCAACCAACAGTTATACTAAAAAGTATGTTATATTCCTACCTAAACTATGTATGTGCAGAAAGAGTACACTTTCTTACTGAAGAAGGGTCCTCCTACACACGTTTGACCACATCTGCTCCTTTTGGAAATCGAAACTTCCTTGCTTAACATTCTAGCACCATCACTGTTTAAAAAGTCATGCTAGGTTCAATTCTGCAAACTTAGTAATAGGTTTCTTCACTTTCCCTCTTGCAAACCTACTGACTGCAATTGTCAGTGTGGGTATAACCTAAAGATACTAGATTTGCATATGTGCTACATTAATGTAAGGTTTAGCTTGTGAAATATTTTTCACTTCAGGGAAAAAAAAAAACCAAGTGCGAAAAAATGTGGCATAGCTTTCAGAACTCAACTAAATTTGAACTGCTAGAAAATAAAAAGATAACTGCAAGATGGGAATATAACACAGAAATGTAATACAGAAATCCAAAGTAGTATTCCTAACTCAGATATTACTCTATTTACTATAGTAGTAAGAGCACAAATTTGTTCTACAGGAATGTACATATTGTTTTCACTTTCCCTCTCAGTTGGTAGAACTGTGCTTTTGAAGACAAACTTCAAA